TGGTTACTGGACTCGAAGCTTGTTCTTCCAAGGTCTAACTGAGGACGCGGTGGCTAGGGACCTCGCAAATTGGGACTGCGATGCTCTGCAATTGCTTTGTTGGTTCGAAAGACAGCTGATTTCTACTGAATGCGGATCCGTTGGAACTGCAGTAACACATGGAACGGTGGAGGAACACGAACAACTCAGTGAGCCTGTTTTTACAGCTGTTGCCGATTGGCTGATTCCTCGGTTTTGGTCGGACCCAACAGACTTGGAACACGCACGAGCTGTAGTTTCTCGTTTGAGAGAGGCCTACAACATGAATGTCTTACCTGAGTCCTGGTTCGCCTGGCAGGCTGAATCCGTGCCTGATTGGGCTACCGATAGCGGTTGTCCGTCTAGTCTAAGGTCACCGGCGGCTGTGGCCTATTGGGCTTACTACTTGGATACGAAGGATAGCTTTACACCGGAACAAAGATTGTGGCATCTCTCGGTTCTGGCACGCTGGTCTCCGGGACATGCCTTGATACATGCGTTTTCGGACATGAAGGAACATTTCCAATCGATTAGGGATGACAGAGAGGATCAGTCGACACAGGATCTTCAACAAGCGCTGAATTTCTGGCTCTGCAAAGACAACGGTGGTACTCTCGAACAAGTTGTAACCAAGGAATTCAATGACGCTGCGGCTCAGCTTAAAGCAATTCGTAACGACGCAACCAACTCGGCAATGAAACCCTACGAGTCTCTATTGGGAAAGTGGTGTATTTCAACCGGTTGGGAAGAGTCTAAGTCTTACCACGACTACTATCATTTGCAATGTCCCATGTATCGAGACCAGATTGTCTCCACTTATTTCTCGGACTTGGTGTGTTGGCCGGTTGAAGAAGGAACGAAACGCTTCCCAGTAGCTTCCTTTAATTCCTTTGCCTTCGACCGCCCTAGAGATATCTGGCTCCGTTATGCCGTACGGCTCGAAGAACAATTCGTGCGGCGATTGGTAGACTTGCTCATCGACCATCAGGCTATCGGGACTGGTCTAACGCGCGATACCATCATCAAGAATTTGCGCCACCAGAAGTCATTCCGCTTTTCAGCCTCACAAAATACGTTCAACCAACTGTACAACCAAGCTCTCAACGAGAAAATAAAGCAAGTGTCAATTGAACGGGGTTTCGACCGAGCTTGGAAATTAGGCTGTGCTGCAATCACAACAATGTACGACATATCTGCAGTAGCCAACGCACCCGTCGTTGCACAGCTTAAAGGCCTGGAAAATCCAGCGGCGCCGTCATCCTTTTAACAGTGCCAACCTCAAAGTATTTCCCCGCACAAAGTGCGTCCGTCGGTCAGAAGTTGAACCCGGACCGCCCTCTAGGGAGCAAACGATCCCAGGGGAGGGCCCGGAACTTATTTTTCCAGAGTCTAGCGCTGAGGATCGTGAGGCTAGAACATGGTCTGTCGGGCGACTCTCGTTTCTCGGACGGCTCTCGTATCTAGGACGGCGATGGTGTGCAAGTGAATAGCATGCAAGGTGATGAGTCGATGACGGTTGGGTGACATGGTTTTCAGAAATACGTAATGTGCCTATCAGCTTGGCGAGGGAGCTTTACGAATCCTGATTGGGCAAGTGGATTACTACAATGACATGGATATTGGCTCGGCGCGAGTACTGCACTGGTTCTATCCCAAGTGCCGAAGACGTTAGTGGGCCAGCTTTATCTTTCCGGGTTTAGCTTTGACAGTGTCGAGCGCCGCGGGGTGCGCTTGGCTGTACGCCGGGAGGAACAATTCGTGCGTCGTTAATTCGACCTCCTCATCGACAAGCACGCTGTCGGGCGTACCACCGAGCTTGGACGTTCGGCTGTGCTGTAGTCGCAACGATGTACGACGTGGCCGCAGTAGCTAATGCAGCCACCGAGCCGTCGTTTGTGCACCGGTCGTGAACCCCCGCGTAGATGCCCCGCAGGCTAGGATGGGAATCGTGACGGGCGGGCAACCGTCTGAACAGTAATAAGCCGCCGATCGGCGCCGCAACCAAATATACCTTTTTTAGAAGGAACCAACTTGTTACTGGGGCTTACACAACCACCAAAATCCCCTTACGTGCCTCCCTTCCGATTCCGGATGCAGTTCCCTGCCCATTGCGAGAACCCCCACGCACACGCGTGCGAGCGAGTGGCTCCGGAGCTTAGCGCGCAGGTGAAGAACATTGCTCGTGTTCGGGCGCCCAATCGGCACCTAGCCTGATCACTGACTGGCCTGCCCAAGTTGACTGATCGGTCTTTCTGTCGGACCCAATGGCGCATTCGCAAAGCCGGGAGCGGCTCAATGAACTGAGTAATAAGCCGCTTTAAAAAAATCATGCGAGGTCCTCGGAGCTGTCCCGTTGAATACTGCCGCAGCTTGGTCTCGATGTTGGCAGGACATGAGGCTTTCGGAATGGGGTTGTGGGGTCGGAGCTTGTTCTTCCAAGGTCTGGCTGAGGACCGTGCGGCTAGGGACCTCGAACGCCGTCTCTGGGATAGCGATGACATGAAAGTTCTTGAGTGGTTTGAAAGGCAGGTCATTTACGCTCAAGGACCATCAGTTGGTGCTGTCGTAACCCACGGAATGGTGGAGGAATATGAGCAGCGGAGTGAAACGAGTTTTACGGCTGTTCTTGAATGGCTGGTTCCTCGATTTTGGTCCGAGTCTAAAAACTCGGATCGCGCCAGCGCAGTAGTCTCTCGTTTGAGAGAAGCCTACAAGGCGAGTGTCTTGCCTGAGTCTTGGTTCGCCTGTCAGCCCGAGTCCCTTCCCTCTTGGGCTCCCCGGAGCATCTTTCAGGGTGGCCTAAGATCAGCTGCGACTGTGGCGTACTGGGCCTACTACTTGGATACGAGGGACGCTATGTCACCGGAGCAACGATTGTGGAATCTCTCCATACTGGCGCGCTGGTCTCCGGCACAGGCTTTGATTCATGCGTTTTCGGACATGAAGGAGCATTTCCAATCCATTAGGGACGACAGAGAGGATCATCCGACAGCCGTAATAAAGCAAGCGCTGGGACTCTGGTGTAAGCACAATGGCGTTGATTTCGGAGGAGCCACAAGCCGGCGTGTGACTAACGATTTGCAGGACCTCGCGCGACAGCTAACAATCATTCGTAATGGACCGGTTGATTCGGCCATGGATCTTTACGAATCCCGACTAGGAAAATGGGTTAAATTAGCGGCATTGGAAATAGCGACGAGCAAGCATCATTACTGTAGTTTCTTGTATCGCAGGTACCGAGACAGCATGATCTCTACTTATTTCGCGGACTTGATCCATTGGAAAGTACCAGAGTCCAAAAAGCGCTTTCCTGTAGCTTGCCCTTTCCCCTTTAGCTTCAGCCGTGTGGGGCATACCTGGCTGCGTTACGCCGTACGTCTGGAGGAACAATTCGTGCGTCGTTTGATACACCTGCTTATCGAGGAACATGTTGTCGAGACTGGTCATACACATGAAGCCATAGTCTGGGAATTGTGTTACCAAAAGTCGTTCCGCTTTTCGGCGCCGAAAGATAAGTTCAACCAGCTGTATGATAGGGCTCTTAATGATGCAATAGTGCAGGTGTCAATTGAACGGGCATTCGACCGAGCTTGGAAGTTAGGCTGTGCTGCAATTACAACAATGTACGACGTATCCGCAGTAACCAATGCACCCCTCCTTGCGCAGTTTCCAGCCCTGGAGCGTACAACCCCAGAGTCATTTACTTCTCAGCCTTGAGAGTGCCTCGTAAAGTCACCCCCGAGGACTTAACCCAGCAGGAGCTCCTGTTGCGAGACAATATGATGAATAAGTTCTCTAGTCTCATTACAACCAAGGGGCCGCGTTTGACCTGCATCATCTCCCTTCTGTAAGTGCAGCTTAGAAGAGAATACGCAGCCAACAAAGTTTGTCGGTCGTTGGAAAAGTTTGTCGGTCGTTACACCATTGGAGAAGCTCCGCGGTATTGGCACTGCTGGACGTCTTTGGTGCAGAGGCGCCGTCGAGCCTGCCGAGGTCGGAGTCGGCATCGCACCCCACTGGGCAAGGACCACCCGCGCGCGTATGACGGAAGCGGCATATAGGTTCGACTCCGACGCGACGTGTGGTTCAATGGCAGCCGTTTCAGGGGTCGCCTCGCTACCGTTATTCTGTCGAGAAGACGGATCGCTGGACGAACATCATCACACAAGAGATAGAAGAACAGGCGTCGGGTGCAGCCGTCTACATTGGTCATGGTTACAGAGAGGCATACAGCTCGCTCCGACAGAGCTTGCTGACTTCGGAGACTACTTCTCGACTTCTGGTCAGTCCACGACCCGAGGCACCACCTGCTTTTCTTGAGGAGTGCTCCGCTACCGAGTTTCATGTACTTTCTGCTTGGAATAGGTAGCCCAGCAACCGGGGAGAGGTAGTCTTTCCACTTGTAGCCACACACCTGAGGAAAGAAGCTTCCTCGGCACGACACACCAAAGATAGTGGCAAATTATTACTTCAACCAGCATCGTCGTCATGGACCAACCACTCACGCGCCCTCCTCTCAAAACAACTTAGTCCTGCAACCTGTTTTCACAACACCCACGCACGCATCGCGGTCGTCAGACCACCACACATACCAGACCGCGACACGAGGGAGGTCGGGAACGGCAGCTCACGGTCGTCGCTGGTCTTAAAGACATCCTCTTAATTCTTAAGACCTGTTGTGATAGGGAAACACCAAGTGTTCTGTTGAGAGAGTAAGCTGCGAGAAAAGGTGACGATAGTTGAGGCCCAACGATCGGTTGAGGATGGCCGGGAAAAACCAACAAAAAAATGCTCAGTTACCGGAGCCAATCGGTCGAGCGTCGTTGGGGCTTCGGCACGGTGTTAGCGATGCTGGATGTCGTTGGAACACAACCGGGACAGTGGGCTCGTAATTTGTTCATTCAAGGTCTAGTTGAGGACGACGTCGTTAGGGACCTCGAACGCCGTGTGCAGCACGGAGACGACGACCAAATTCTTGCATGGTTTGAAAGACAGGTGATTACCTATTCTCAAGTTGCGTCCGGTGGAGCTGCCATGACTCGCGGAACGGTAGATGAATACGAACAATTGAGTGACCATAACTTTTCGGCGATTGCCGAGTGGCTCATTCCTCGGTTTTGGTCGGATTCTACAAACTCGGAACGTGCGAGGGGAGTAGTCGCTCGGTTAAAAGAAGCATACTACACGAGTGCCGTTCCCTTATCTTGGTTTGGCTACAAGCCTGAATCCTTCCACCATTGGGTTCCCAGTAGTATCTCTCCCGCTAGTCTAAGGTCAGCTGCAGCGGTGGCATATTGGGCTCACTTTTTGGATACGAGAGATGCTATGTCACCGGAGCAAATATTGCGGCATCTATCCGTACTTGCGCGCTGGTCCCCGGCCCAAGCTTTCATGCACGTTTCCGACAACTTGAAGAAACATTCGCCGCAGTTTAACGGAGCTCAGCGCCACTACTGTCTTAGTAACCTCATGCAATCGATTGAACTTTGGCTCTGCTTCAGACGGAGCCCGGATGCGGTGCCTGTGCACGATCATGTCAGTCGACGCATGGCAGGAGACTTGCACAGCTTTATGCATGAACTCACACTTATGGATGGGTCAGACGACCGAGAAATACATGTCTATAGCGAGTCCGAAATGGGAGGGTGGATGAATTCGATGGCATTGCAAGCAGCTGAGAGATTTCGCCAGGACTATCTTGCAAAGTATCGCAAGCGCCGAAACTGCTTCTCTTCTGCGTATTTCTCAGACTTAGTGTCATGGCAAGTGCCTTCGGAAGAAGAAGTCGTCCACTTCCCCGTGGGCCAAGATCTTGGTTTTGAACTTGATGGTCCTGGGAGGTATGCACTCCGTCAGACGGTCTGGTTGGAGGAACAACTCGCGCGCCGTGTGACGGAACTGCTCATAGAGCGGGAGACTGCCGTCGACGAACACCTTAATGAGATTCCTCCGACGAGAGACGACGTTATCCGCCGCTTTTTGGGCCAGCAAAAGTCGTTCCGTTTCCGAGCCTCGGAAGAGACGTTCCGTCAACTGTACGAACAGGCGCTAGAGGAAACGGTAAACCGAGTGGCCGCTGAAGAGGGGCATGAGTACGCTTGGAGAGTCGCCTGCGCTGCAATCACTATGATGTACCACGTCTTCGGGGTCGTTGATGCACCCGTGGCTGGACGGCCTTTTCCGGATGCCGCAGCTCAGCCACCGGAAACAATGCGGTCATGGGAAACCTTTGGACGGTCATGGGGAGCCCCACCGTCCGGACAGACACCCACACTCTTAGACCGTCTGGAAGCATTAATTGAGCAACAGATTCGTTTCTGGCGGGGACCTTAATGTTTTCAGCGACAACTATCGATAGCTAGCCAGCCAGCCAACGGACCCAATATCGATAGCTAGCCAGTCAACGGACCCAATAACTGAGATGAGAACAACAACCTAGATAGAAACGATTCAGTTCTCGTCCAGCGCAATTTTCAGTTGCCACTTAACTGAAAAGGGGCTGTAAGAAAGTCTTCACACACGACGCTTGTAAAGACACTTATAAGTGAACGAAGCAGAGCGTATGACTCCGACTCACGTACGTCGTTATGGAAAAAAACCAGGGAATTAGATGTCAGCCTAATGTACTGTTATTTGTCAGCGCTCAGTAAGCTCTGACGACAAGAGAATCATCCACTCCAAAGGGAGTATGGTCAACTGTCAACGAGAGCTACCTTCGTCTTCACGCCGTGGTTAATGTTTAATGCATTGGAACTGAAGCAAGAGAGAAACTATAGAAATAGATCCATCGAGCACAGTTGCACTATGTTAAAAAAAAAAAAA